GTCTGTATATAAAAAAAGGTAAAGCTGTCCATGTAACAGGCTGTGAAGGCCCACAGGGGTGAGACGTCGAGGTTCCCACACTTTCTAGACAGTCGGCTCATAGATGGCGGTAAGCTTGTTAGCCTTACGCACCAGCCGCCTTTTTACCCTCAAGGAAAATTCCCGGTACTCATTTATGTTAGAGGCTGAGTCGACCCCAGGGCCACTGTATAGCTGGAAGGATTAGGTCAATTGAAAAATCCAATGAACTCATTGGGATTTGATCCCACAACCTTCCGGCTTGTAGTATAGTGCCTCAAACAACTACACTACTATGTACCACCTGAAGGTCTGTATGGATGTGAAATTTGGTCTGACATTAAGGGAGGAATACAGACTGAGGGTGTCTGAGAACAGGGTGCTGAGGAGAATATTTGGACCGAAGAGAGATGCAGTGATGGGAGAATGGATAATGAGGAGCTTCATAACTTGTACTCTTCGCCAAATATAATTAGAATGAGGAAGTCAAGGAAGATGAGATTGGCTGAGCATGTAGCATGCATGGGGAGAAGAGGAATGCATACAGGATATTGGTGGGAAAGCCATAAAGAAAGAAACCACTAGGGAGACCAAGATGTAGGTGGGAGAACAATATTACAATGGATCTTAGAAAGACAAGATGGGGTGGTATGGACTGGCTCCATCTGGCTTAGGACAGGGACCAGTCAAGGGTTCTTGTGAACACAGTAATGAACCTTCGGATGCCATAAAATGCTGGGAAGTTCTTGCGTAGCTGCACGATTGGCAGCTTCTCAAGAAGGGCTCAGCTCCTTGAAGTTAGTTAGTTAGCTTGAGCTAAGCAAGCAGTTTTTAAGTTTTAGTACATATCCTGTACAACACATAATACAAACTACAGAATGGCCAAAATTTTGTAAGAACATGTCACATATACAGCTGGACATCTTGGTTTACTTTTCTTTGTGACATCTGGGGACTGGTTAAGAAAAAAAGAAAAAAGAAAAAAAATCTGAGCTTCTGCAGGTGATGTGAAACATTTCTTCAGACAAGAGACTTTGAAAAGCAGCCAATTTTATCACACACACACATGAATAACGGGACGTATGTGTCTCTCTGAAAATCAGCGAGTCTACAGTTCAAGCCACACTGAAGGCTATTCTCTACAAGTTGATGTGGAAGTATATAGTCATATACAGGGGGTTTGGAAGCATCACAATATGTATGATATGTAATGTCTTTCATGTTTTTACAGAATGAGTCCAGATTGTATGAAATTCTTTCCAAGGTTTAAGATTCATGAACTGACTAAAGAACAATGGCAAAAAGGTTTTACATATACCACGACACCATCATGAGTAGATATGCCCAACTGCGGGCAATTATGAATAACTGTAACCAAACCTAAATTTAAACAGCCTTATGTAGAGCACATATATGGGCAAATGTAGGTGATTGATAGGACAGAATTCCAGTGACATCTGCAGGCCGAAAGGTAGTGATGTATGTTGAATTCTTGTCTTGNGCTCACTGACTCTAATTAACACTTCTTCAATTCTCACATAATCAGTCCAACTGATCTTCTCCATCCTTCTCCAACACCACATTTCAAAACTTTCCAGATTTTTCTGATCTACTGCCCTAAGTGTCCATGTTTCAGCCCCATACAGAGCTATGCTCCAAATGTAGCATTTCACTAGTTTCTTCCTCAAATTTAAGTCCAATTTGCTGGTAAAAAGATTCTTCTTCTTGCTAAATGCAGCTTTTGCTATGGCAATCCTGGATTTAATTTAACTAGTACACCTTCCATCATCTGTTAACAAGCTGATAACACAGATACCATAAAGAAAAACAGAAACTTTAATTCACACTTCTAAGGAGGCTAATTTAGAAGTACACACAGAGAAAACTAAGTCTCGTCACCAGAATGCAGGGAAAAATCATGACATGAAGATAGCTAACAAATGTTAGGAACATATGGCAGAGTTCAGATATTTGGGAATGACAGTAACAAAACAAAACCTGGCTCAAGAGGAAATTAAGAGAAGACTGAATTCAGGCAGGCAATGCTTGTTACCATTCAGTCTAGAAATATTTGTCTTCTTGCCTGCTGTCTAAAAACATAAAAATTAGAATATACAAAACTCTAATTTTGCCTGTGGGTCTGTATATAAAAAAAGGTAAAGCTGTCCATGTAACAGGCTGTGAAGGCCCACAGGGGTGAGACGTCGAGGTTCCCACACTTTCTAGACAGTCGGCTCATAGATGGCGGTAAGCTTGTTAGCCTTACGCACCAGCCGCCTTTTTACCCTCAAGGAAAATTCCCGGTACTCATTTATGTTAGAGGCTGAGTCGACCCCAGGGCCACTGTATAGCTGGAAGGATTAGGTCAATTGAAAAATCCAATGAACTCATTGGGATTTGATCCCACAACCTTCCGGCTTGTAGTATAGTGCCTCAAACAACTACACTACTATGTACCACCTGAAGGTCTGTATGGATGTGAAATTTGGTCTGACATTAAGGGAGGAATACAGACTGAGGGTGTCTGAGAACAGGGTGCTGAGGAGAATATTTGGACCGAAGAGAGATGCAGTGATGGGAGAATGGATAATGAGGAGCTTCATAACTTGTACTCTTCGCCAAATATAATTAGAATGAGGAAGTCAAGGAAGATGAGATTGGCTGAGCATGTAGCATGCATGGGGAGAAGAGGAATGCATACAGGATATTGGTGGGAAAGCCATAAAGAAAGAAACCACTAGGGAGACCAAGATGTAGGTGGGAGAACAATATTACAATGGATCTTAGAAAGACAAGATGGGGTGGTATGGACTGGCTCCATCTGGCTTAGGACAGGGACCAGTCAAGGGTTCTTGTGAACACAGTAATGAACCTTCGGATGCCATAAAATGCTGGGAAGTTCTTGCGTAGCTGCACGATTGGCAGCTTCTCAAGAAGGGCTCAGCTCCTTGAAGTTAGTTAGTTAGCTTGAGCTAAGCAAGCAGTTTTTAAGTTTTAGTACATATCCTGTACAACACATAATACAAACTACAGAATGGCCAAAATTTTGTAAGAACATGTCACATATACAGCTGGACATCTTGGTTTACTTTTCTTTGTGACATCTGGGGACTGGTTAAGAAAAAAAGAAAAAAGAAAAAAAATCTGAGCTTCTGCAGGTGATGTGAAACATTTCTTCAGACAAGAGACTTTGAAAAGCAGCCAATTTTATCACACACACACATGAATAACGGGACGTATGTGTCTCTCTGAAAATCAGCGAGTCTACAGTTCAAGCCACACTGAAGGCTATTCTCTACAAGTTGATGTGGAAGTATATAGTCATATACAGGGGGTTTGGAAGCATCACAATATGTATGATATGTAATGTCTTTCATGTTTTTACAGAATGAGTCCAGATTGTATGAAATTCTTTCCAAGGTTTAAGATTCATGAACTGACTAAAGAACAATGGCAAAAAGGTTTTACATATACCACGACACCATCATGAGTAGATATGCCCAACTGCGGGCAATTATGAATAACTGTAACCAAACCTAAATTTAAACAGCCTTATGTAGAGCACATATATGGGCAAATGTAGGTGATTGATAGGACAGAATTCCAGTGACATCTGCAGGCCGAAAGGTAGTGATGTATGTTGAATTCTTGTCTTGAGAATACAGAAAATTGTTCAAGTTTACAGAATTTCGGAAATATTATTTAAATTCAAATATTTCTTATAAAATAAGGGAACTTAAAGTGCTGAATGTTTAAATATAAACTATGTACACAGAGGTTTCAAATCTATTTATTTGAATATTCTAATTATTATGGAATTTCTGAGGATTCTGAGAATTTGAAACCTATTTCAAAAATGAAGTTTCCAAAATCCACCCAAATTTTGTAATCAAGGCAAATAAAAAAACATGGAATTTAAATGCTATAATTTTTTTTCCAAAGTTTGAAAATATTTTACTATCTGAGGAGAAAATGCAAAGGTATCACTGATTTGCAACTCCTCAAAATGACAAGGCCAAATTTCATGTTCCGATGAATACATCTTCATGTCATGCACCAGTATAATCTAAATTAATGTGGCCTAACCCAGTCGAACACTATCAGACACAACTGTGCCAGTAGGAATAAATGGATAAGCAGCGGTTTCTTGTGCTAACCTAACCTAATTTAACCTATCATTGCTCAATTTCACCAAGTGATACCCCAGTTAGGAGGGATATGTACAGTTGGATGTGCAGTGGTGTTGTGCTTACCTGACCTAACCCAACTTAAGACTGCTCAGGTCTCACCACCTGTTGCCCCAATGAGGTGGGAGGTGCATAGTGTGCTGCTTTTAAGTTCACTGCCACAACTGTGTCTTCCACCTCATGAATTCAAGATTTCATTATGTCTTTATTAGCCTTGAGTAGCATATCATTCATGCCCAGTTTCATGAAAATTGGGGCAAATGTTTCAAAATTTGAGTTTCTGGGAACCATGATACATATTGGCTGTCTGGTCTCTTCCAGGAGGCGTAAGCAAATTTAAGTGAAAAATGTGTTCAGAGAAAGCATGTGCAGCAGATATTCAACATGTCAATCCATACTTGGGTGTGGGGTGTATATTATAATTTTAGCTTCACAAGCTGGGTATTTCCAGATGCAGATATTACATGTGGATCCTCAGGATGGACAACCTGACTTCCTGAGGCAATTACACATAATTTCAATAACTCTACTTAATTTTGCATACAATGACAGTCTATATGCTGAAGGATGTGTTCACATTAAAGTCAAATCTAATTATAGAATACTAGTTTCTCTTGGGGGGGGGGATGCACACAAAGCATGGGTGTGCTTTTATTTCCCACTTACAATGGCATCTACAGACTAATCACATCCCCGTCTTTACAGCTAGCCTGAAAAACAATGGTCAAATCACTGCCTTACCTACCCTTAGGCTAGATTTTTAGTATTACTTTTTGATCTCTTGTTTCAGTTTTCAATTGGGTCACCATTTCCCTGTCAAAACCAAATTAACATTTTTAGGTAAATGACTGAAAGAACTCTTCCACAATTCCACTTATTCATTTAAAGCATTTTCTTGAACTCCAGAAAATCTGATGGATCACAGCAGAGATCATAAGCAGTGTTTCACTCATCACTCACCAAATCTAAAACCAGGGAAAATTCTGGGCTACTCCTGGTTTTCAGAGGAAGAGCAGGGCATCTAGCCCTCATCTCTAGTGTAAGTGGTGGTAGATTCTTGATGAATAAGTAAGGGTCAAATGGCTCCCAGTCATCATCAGCCTCCACACCACTCTCTTCTACAATTTCTTCTGCTACTGCCATCTCCACATCTGCACAAAACTCTTTTAATATTAGCACACAATGACATGTCAAGATGTCAAAACAAATTATACAAATGCGAAGTATACAGATACAGTAAAATTTCCCTGTACTGTTACATATGTTAAATATTCTTCTTTTAAGCAGTGGATATGCAGTCAAATTTAAGTAGACTGTGGAAAAACAGAGGGATCTTGAGGTTTCATTCCAAAAAAGGTAACACAATAGTGGAAATATTGGTCTCTGGTGATAAGTAACTTGTCAGTATGACATCTTTGACAATCATGTAATTTATATTGAATTAAGTTAGCTTAAGGCATATGATTTGAATTTAGCCCCAATCCATTCTTGCTAATGGTGTTTTATGAATTACCTCAGTCCCTCCAGGCAGATGGCAGGATAGTATAAGTTCCATCCTGTTCTTCCAGGGCCATGCATCAGCCATCCTAATAACATCCATAAGCCTCACATGCAATAACTATACAAGAATCAAATGGTGTATCCACTTTAAAATACATATTCGAAATGTAATATTTGCAATGCTGCATTTACAATTGGTCAGTATTATAAGATGTACCTTTTAGGCAGATATGCAAGTAATACATTTTTATCACATTGTGTATATTTTACATTAGCATCATCACATTCGCTTGTTTCTTATATAAGTGTACAGCTACTTAACACTCTTTCAAAACCTCAAACAAAAAGGCCCAGGCAGAACATTCAAGATGTCAATGTCAAAAGTCTGTCTCTCTCTCTTTCAGCCTACTTTCCTTATTGTGAAAAAAGCATAAAGAAGTCTGTTGTCTGTGTGTCTGTCAGTCTATACATCGCCCCATAATTTTTTAAATAACAGGAGTATGCTTATGAGATCACCTTGCTGTCTCTATGCCTGTGGCCCCTCACCCAATTTTTTCATTTTCTGTGTGGTACATGTTGCATCAAAGGAAAACAGGCACTCAGTTCTTCCCAGAACTTTCTGCTTCTACAGCTTTTGTTCAAAAGAACGTTTCAATGCTATCCTTTTATTGAAATTGCCTCCAATATGATGTAAGGGTGATAATGGACAAATATATATCAAAATTAAATTCACCAACCAATTCCCTGTTCAAAGCCCTTCCACCTAATTCCAGTGAAGTCTGCCAAAATGGTTTGGGAAATGAAATATATAAACAAATGTGACCTCCCCAGTAATATTCATGTCATGTATTGAGTGTTAAGAATGCTAAAAATTTCTTCCATATCCTGATCACCCATCACCATCAGTAGGGCTGGGGTCCTAGGGTCAGTCACCTGGCTCTCCTGTTTGTGGTTTTGAATGGCTGCTGGTGAGAGGGGTGGAGCCTAGAGCTGCAGCAGCCGATGACTGCTCCTGCTGGTGCTCTTCATAGTAAGCATCACAGCCATGTGAGGCCAGAACAGTGGTACCTTCACAAACATCCGGATAGTTGCAAGGTAGTGACAACAGATCTGTGGACACATATCCACAACATTAAGAAATGACAAAGCATAATTCATCTACATGAATTAAATATCTAAATACCTTCAAGCAGGATCAAGGGTAACACAGTCAGTATAGCAACTGCCTCAGGTGCTCGATGACCAAGTACAGTCTGTTATTTTCTCTTCTTCAAGTCAACCATCCGAGTTCTGGGGCCCACCCAGCCTCCTATCCAATTGGAGCTGGGGAGGGGGGGGGGGGCTATTTTCCTGGAGGTAAAGTGGCTGACCACTCACCTTCAATTAATGCCAATGTCAAGAAAACGTGTATCTATACATTCCCTTCCCCTTACACCACCCTGGTGTAGTGCTTAATTAGTTAAGCAAAGGGACTTTGCCATTAGTTTCAAGCATGCCCACCTGTGGCCCTCTTAGCCTCTTCCTCCAGGAGGCATGTGAGGTCAGGTGAGGACACAGAGCTCAGGTCATCATGAAGAGCAAGACCAAGGTGATCAGTAACTGGAGGTGAACAAGTGTAGACCGAGCTGAACAGAGACACATCTGCCACATCTGGCAACACTGCTGTCTGCCAATTCTCCTTTGTCTCTTCACTCAGTTTTGTCACCTGAAATAGAAGTCAAGCCTGCTGAGTGCTGTTCTTTATTAAAATTTCAGTACAATTCACCAAAACATGAATTCTTTTGAAATCTATATCTCAAAGATAATTTTAAATACCCAGCCCCTTACACAAGCCAAAACCTTTTCCATGCCAGGTGGTAGGCCAAAATTCTGAGCAAGTTTTTTACAGTTGAAGTGGGACATGAATAAGAGAATTAAATTCAGTGGGTAGACAAGTCACACATACAGGTATTCCCTCTGGAATCACTGCCATCAAGAGGACCAACACAAAAGACATATGTCCAATTATCCTGTAAACACTAAGATGGAGTTCCACCAAACTCTACCTCTAGTGCAATTCAAAGAATTAACTCTGAACAATTCTGAATTTAAATTTCTGGATTACTGATTTATGGCAAATAATGATGAAGAATGTCAGTAATATACTTTAGTTACAAAGTTTTAGTTTATTTAAATTTGAAGAGTATATTATCCTCTGAGATGTCAGGCACTGCAGCCTTGAAGTTTATCAACGTTCCCCGAAAAACCAGCGAGCTTCTATCATCATGTTCTAGCAGAGAGCACTCTTCACATACTCTAACGTGAGAACCTGATATACACTCAACTCTCGATTATCCAGGATAATGGTGGGGATGGATACAACGATTAATCGAAAACCCGGTTATGACAAATTTTATTAAAAGTAGTACTGTAATCACAAATTGTCAATGAATAATCCGTCGAGTGTAACAACGTTCTTAGGTCACTTATTTATTTCACTCGCCTTACATGTTTCGGTTCAAAAGAACCATCATCAGAGGCACGTTACAAACACATGAAACCACTGGCGTTGTATTGTACACAGTATGTAAGCTGCGTGATCTGCTAGAGATGTCGGAGTGTAAAAGCACAACACTTTCTAGTAACGTTGAATGCATGTACACCTCTTGCATTCCATCCAAAGAATGCTCTCAAATTGAGCCGTCAATGTTAAAATATTTAAAAGCTTAAAACATTTGAATTAAAATTTGGCTCCTTCTTGTTGATTCGTCCCGGTGATGGGAATCGTCAACTTGAGGTTGTGTATGCTTTTGGTCGGATGTGTCTTACGCGTTGTGTGTTGTGTACTCACAACAATTCAAATTAGTACTGTAATACTGTACCTTCATAATACTATAGGCCTACCTGTATTTAAATTTATTCAACCTCGTTTTTATGTCATCTCATGGCCTATGTAATACTTTTTTATATTACACAGAAATATGAATTAGTTATTTAAATCACAGTGTTCAACAACATCCAACACTTTTTACAAATATTCACACTTAACACTTAAAAAAATTAAATATTGTCATTTGCTTTTTCGCGGCATTTTTCTTTTTGCGGATATCCGTACAAAGCCTACGTAATATTAGCTTGTCACTTAATAAACTGTTCTCTTCACTCTCAAGATAGTCTAGTAAGGATTCCAAATGATTAAGAGCAGCACCATGTGATATTTTCTTACTAGCAGCAGCGTCCACATCTTCCTCATTCTCAGTCTCTTCCCGCTCTTCTGGCTGCACCCCCACTGCTTAACATTTCGAAGCCCGGTTCACACGAGTTTCTGTTCAATACTTATCATAACACGCTTCCTTTTACACCCTGACATTTTGCTAACGCACTTGAAGATCGATACAAGGAGACTAACTCAGGCAGTCTATCTGTCCTTGAAACTTTCCACAAATCCTTGCATTCTTTCACCCTACCTTACAACATTGTGTTAGCATAACGGGACCAAAAAATGCAGAGCTTGGTTCATACTAGTGCGAAAATAGTGTTACAACTCACCATGTGAAACAAAAGTGAATGAATATTAAACAACATATAAGCCTCAAAAAAGCCCCGGTTAAGCTGCAAACTGGTTTACCCACCCCCGGATAATCGAGAGTTGAGTGTATTATTAAAGGTTGACTGACTTCTCAACTGGTTGATTGAAAGTGAACTCAAATGCAATGGTTACTCTTAAATGGTATCATACTAACCTTCACATTTACATTACTGCAACAGCACATACACATGGTCCAGCTGACCCAGTGTTGCATTCTTCAATAATAATACCATTAGCTCTAATTTAAAGTATGGCTGCCAATCCCATAATAAGGAGAAATTTAAAATCCATATTCCTAAACCATAAAAGGTTCAACAAAGCAAAACTACATTCTAATTCCAAAATTTTGATACTGGGATTTCCCTTGTACCAGGTACGAAGGGAGTTCCATATATAATGCCTCCTATTTTTTTGTGTTAATATGTAATGTCTGAGCTGGATGTCGGTGGTGTTGTAGTAAAGGCTGAACCTTCCCGCCACTGTACTGTTAGTTTGGTTGTCGTGCGACAGATAGCGGCAGCAGAGCAGCCTACCAAAATGGCGTCTGACATAGAAGTGCGTACAAAACAGAGATGTGTTATTGAATTTCTCACTGCCAAACAAATTGCATGCATTGACATCCATCAACGTTTGCTAAAGGTGTACAGAAACGACACAGTGGATGTCAGCACAGTAGGGTGGGCTCGGTGGGTAGTACGTTTCAACAGGGACAAAAGTGAAGTGCACGACAAACGACGCCCTGGGTGTCCCTGATCAGTTGCCACTCCTCACAATGAAGTGCCTCGATCAGCTCATCCGTACAGATCGGCAGATAATGGCCAGGGAACTGTGTGCACAGCTTAATATCGGCTGTAATGCATTGGAAATGATGTTGGGGAAGCTGGATTATTGCAAAGTTTGTTCCTGGCAAGTCCCATGGATGCTTACACAGGACCACAAAACTCATTGAATGGAAGTCTACCAGGACCTGTTGCACCAGTCTGAGGCTGAAGGTGACAAGTTTCTGGACAGCATCATCACCAGAGATGAGACATGGTGTCACCACTATGAGTCAGAATCCAAAAAGACAGTCCATGGAGTGGAGATATCCGGATTCCCCAAGAAAAAAGAAGTTCAAGACACAGCCATCGGCAGGGAAAGTGATGTGCACGGTCTTTTGGGATAGGCGGGGTGTGATTTTGTTGGATTTCCTGGAGCCTGGTGAGACTGTCAATTCTGAACACTACAAGATGACGCTGACTAAGCTGAAAGCCCACATTTCCCGAGTCAGGCCAGAGAAGCAGACAACCTTTCGCTTGCAACACGATACCACTAGACCCCATACCAGTTTGGCGACCACCGTGCACATTGCAAAGTTTGGCTGGACTGTCCTACCATATCCACCTTATAGCCCAAATTTACCACCTTCAGACTTCCATCTCTTTGGGCCTATGAAAGATGGACTACATGGGCAACATTTTCCAGACAACGATGCTGTCATTGCAGCTGTAAGAAAGTGGCTAGCCTCTGCTGGTGCAGACTTTTACGGGCGCAGCATACGGGCTCTTGTTCATCACTGGCAGACGTGCATAACAAATGGTGGTGATTATGTGGAAAAATAGCTGTAAGTAGCTGAGATCTTGCTCTATTTAACTGCATTATTATGCTGTGGGGCTCTTGCCAACGTGTGTGTAGTCTTGTCATTACTCCGATGACAACCCACTTCTCCGGAACAGTTTGTTGGCCCTGAAAAGGACCGTGGCTGCTGAGATGATTGACCGGTGAGGTAGCGCAGCGCGCGCCGGTAAGGAGAAAGGCTAGTTACGGTGAATGGCTGGTGAAAAGGCTAGTCGTTGAGCGCGGTCGTAGGAGCCATGAGACAGTGGCTACGCCAGAAGCGCAGTGGGTCGGACCGTAACACGACCACCGGCGAGTCCAGGCGCGGTGCCCCAGTGAGTCAGGTGTGAGAGCACTGGAGGGCCGAGGCAGTCGTGCCCGGCGCAGCCTGCCGATGTCTCCGAAGACCGAGCGCTGGCGACGAAGCCTGCTGGTTGAAGTTGCTTGCTGTCGGACTGAATAAACTGCTGAACTGAACTGAACTGAATCGATGAACTGAATAACTCGGCTTTGGAGTCGCTCCTTTTTTATACGCTGGTCGGTGGGGCGGAGCCAAACTCGAAAGTGAGGAGCAAGAATTGATTGGCTAGCGCGCGTAATGACGTAGATGCGGGCCAGGAGCGATCCCAGTATAAATATGAACGTTTGAAGCAATCTGGTTGGTTAGCGCGCGTGATGGTGAAAAGTGATGTGAAGAGCGAGCGTTGCAGAAATGCGTGATAATGTGGGATGTTCCCACAGTACTTTCTGTATCTGTTGTAGTTTTCATCGAAAAAATAGGAGGCATTATATACAGAATGCTCCTCGTATAATGCTTATATCACCATGACCTGGTTGCCAGTCCCCTTTGTAATAATGAACTGAATCACCAAAGACGATATTATTTCATACTGCAAATCCTACTCCCTTAACCCCATACCTAGTATAAGACATTCCATATTATGTTTATCACTCGCAGACGTATAAACTAGTTTCTACTTCTTATGACACGTTATGTTATAGACAAAGAATTTCCTTAAGTTATTAACTAGCAAATAAACCAACTAATGGTGAACTGTTAATCAATTAAAAGCCTTTACTAATAGTCTGTCATCAACTGCAGTCCAAGCACAGTAACTTCAACTGGTTCCAAAACCACAATCTTCACTGCTTCTTGCACAAAAATTCAGTGCACTATCTTACTTAATTAATTTTATAATGGCTCTTCCAGGCCATTCAGGGCCCAGGTCTCATATTCAGTTCTGTAATCATTTTTTCACAGACAGTAGGACTTCTTGGACGAGTGATCAGCCCGTCACAAGGCCTCTACCCAAACACAGGACAACACAAACACAGAATAAAAGCATACACACCATACATCCATGCCTTAAGTGGGATTCAAACCCACAATCCTAGCTTCCGAGCAAGCAAAGACAGTTAATGCCTAAGACCGCGCAGCTACTGTGACCGGCTCCTTACTTATCATTCCAAATTACAAATTACAAACCACAGCACAGCTTACTGCGGCCAGAGTATCCTTGACAATGCTGCTCACAGTATTCTTGACATGATGAAGCGGCGTTGATGTGATCATTGGCTCTATATCATCCAAGCTGCCTTTCCGTGGACGCCGTGTTGGTTTCTTAATGCGACAGCCAGCTGTTCCTCCATTGAAGTGAAGGACATTTTCTCTACATGTCTGAGTAATATTAACAATAACAACAACGATGATAATTATAAAAATGACGACAATGACAACAATTCTTATTTATGATGTATTACCCAATTATAGTCTCCTGCTCTGCCCTACTTTACTACCTGATTTTGAATGACTATCCCAACTATCTATCAGAGTTAAAAGCCCTCTGCTACGTGCTACACATTTAAAATTCAAATATCTTATGTACTGAGCTGGTTGGGGCATAACACTCCTGATTTATATTTTGGAGGTAACCAGTCTGAATCTTAGCCAAGACAATGACCATTCTGAATGAGCGGTTTTCTCTGATTTTCCTCAGTCCCTCCAGGCTAATACCAGGATTAGTATCTTGGAACAGGTAACGGCTTCCTTCCTTATTCTTTCCAATTCGTAATTCATTAATCATCCTACCATCTGATATTACAAGCCTGAGCTACTGACAGTGCAGTTACATAAACATCATATAAAATATACCTGACAATTAGTAACTTTAACATAGTGTGCACCAAATGCCAAGTCTGATATGTACATCAATATTTTCTCAGTTCTTTTGTTTGTGGAACCCTGCTGCATTCCTCTCCTCAAAAGGAGGAAGAGAACAAGTTCAAAACATATCCTACGTAGATATAAGAGGTCATTCATAATGGCAGTATTGTTAACATACACATGACATAAAAATAGATTTCTATTTCACACTCCATTCTTGCTAAATATCACACATGGATAGCATTCCAATCGGCTTTCCATATTTCTACAAAATAACACCAAATTAAACGACTGTTTCAAGAAAGAATACACTTCCACATTTCATTTTAACATGATTTTATAATTTATAACATTTTTCTTTTTATATTTAAAGATTGAAATTCATATTAAAACTGGGTATTAATAGGAACTGCTTATAGAAATGTTTTGGGAGTCAAAGGGAAGGCAAAAACAATGAATGAGTACAGTTTAATTACAAAAAATGGGAAAGTGTGCAGTCTCTACTGTGAAGTGATATCCCTGGCTGCTGCATCTGACTAAAAGCAATTAAGTAATATTTACTGCTAATTGGCAACACATCATATTGTAACGATTTGTGTGTGTGACCACAGATGGGGTACAGACTGGATATTCGACTGAAACAACTAAGAAGTACTAGTAATTACAACACTATCGCTGATCTTCACACTTTAAAAATTACTAGCATACTAAGTTTTCTCAGTCTTCACTAGTCGTATCTTGGCAATGGATTTTAACACAGTCTGTCACTGTAGCACACATAAAATCTTCTTTTCACAGATGCCGTGTTCCAACTAACTATTTTCTTCACAGCTGGACTTTCAATTCTTAACTACAGCACCATCACCTCTCAGCCTCCCTTCCAGAACTCAATTCTAGACTGACAACCCTCAACTACACTGTGTCCATTCAAGGAGAAAACTTGGCTACAGCGCTGACTGGGGCCCAACATTCCTCACAGATTGCTGCTGTAACTGCCAATAGAAGAATGAGTCATTAGCACTGATAAATGCGCACCGTCGGGTCGTGTGATCTTGTCACTGCAGTTAAATCACATTAATAGTCAGTCTGTATTTGAGATGTCGATAAGCAGTCAACATTTACACTGAAATGAAGTTCACTATTGAACAGTGCGTGTTCATTGTCAAAACTTTTGCAAGAAAAAAAGTTACAGAAAATGTATCCATAAGTTTCATCGTAAATATCCTGATTCGCCAGTTCCCACAAAGTCGTGTGTATCCAAGCTTATGAAAAAGTGGTGGGCCATAGGTTCAGTGTGTGACATAAAGAAGCAATCGAAGAGGATTCTGCTGACTGAAGAAAGAGTCTGGGATACTGAGGCACCATTACAGATCAGTCCTCAGGAAACCGGTGTTTCGCTAGGATCTGCTTTCACAGCCACAAAATGAATCACATTTTGCCCATATAAAACAACAGTTGTGCATGAGCTGAAACAACCAGATTATGCAGCAAGAATTTGTTTTTGCAACTGGCTGCTGCAAAATGTGCACGATGGAATCATGGATCCACAGCTTCTGTTCATGACTGATGAGACATGGTTTCACATTAGTGGTCATGTCAATGCACAAAATGTAAGAATATGGAGCAATGAAAATCCTCACACTCTACAGCAAGTGCCATTACATAGTGAAAGGTGGGGGTGTGGTGTGCTGTAAGTCCACAGTGAATCACTGGCCCCTCATTTTTCCACAAAACCATGAACTCTGATTGCTATATTAATGATATACTGAATCTGTTCTTCAAAAAGCTGACTGCTGAAGAAAGACAATATGAGTATTTTCAACACATACGGCTAATGCATCCATGGTCGCAATGCGGGAAGTGTTTGAAGACAGAATAATCAGCAGGGGGACTCTGACTTCCCAGATCCCCAGATCTCAGTTTTTGCGATTTTTATCTTTGGGGAAACCTAAAGGGAAAAGTCTACAAGAATAATCCTTGCACCACTGAAGCTCTGCAGAATGAAATAACAGACATAATTAGTTCAATTACCGTGGACCAACTTCAGAAAGTGTCACATAATTTATTTAAGCAACGCGAGGCATGTTTGCAAGCAGAAGAGGGTCACTTCTAACACCTGTTATAAAGCACGGTAAGTTTGTGTTATCTTTTTACAGTATTCATATAAATGTGTGCATGTACAGGAACTGATGTGAGGAAATCTGCGACACAACTGCACTCTCACCAGCAGGGAAGGGCACAGTAGTCGCAGAGAAACGATCCATCCGCTCTACGTGAGCACGTGCACGTTTATCAGCGCTAATAACTCATTCCGCTAATGGCAGTTACAGCAGCAATCTGCGAGGAATGTTGTTCCCAGTTAGGGCTGTAACCAGGTTTTCATTGACGACTGAATGCCCTGTATCTGCCCTGAGTCTGAGTCTGATGTTACGACCGACGGTCAGTCAGCCAGTCTGTCTTGGAATAAAGCGCCCAAATGGGGCTTATGACCAGATTTTTATTAATGTCAGACAGTTGCGGGTTTGTTGATGTGGGGCACTCTCTCTGATGAGAGGATGGGTCTGTTGTTTACAATCACTGTTGGCCCTCGCCAGCGCAGTCATTCTCAAGTCTGACTCCTGTGGGACTCATGACCATATTTTACTGCCTCAGACTCAAAACTTCCCTTTCTGTCACCTCCTATGACTTGCAGGGCTACAGTCGAGGTATTCAACCCCATCTCCACACTGGATGGCTCACTAACTGGATTGCCCCAGTTGTCTTCTTCATAACCACTTCACATGGACTGAATAATAAACACCGTTTCCAACAATCACCCCCCCTGTTGTAGATACGTGTTTACCGATCCCTTGCTTAAAAATGGGTTGCATAACATCGCTGTTCTACTGTCCTGTGTGTGTATGTTGTTTGCATTACCTAGCAACAGACACGTTTTACAGAGTCATTGCTCAGCAACAGGTCTATAGACCACAATACTATCAGATTACAGTACAGTCACCTCATTTCCTGGATTTCACAAATAATCTACAAAACAGCTTCAGCCACTACATTAAAGTAGACAGAACTATCCTATATTGTGTTATAAATCCACATTATTACATTCTTTAATATGTTGCAGTAGCTGACTTGGGAGCAACTCCTTAACTGTCACTTCTGTAAAATCTGTCTTTTGCACTTGGTACCTAAAGGCGTTTATCAGTATTCCTCTTACAAGCACATTCAAAACAAATTACTGTCATCTACGAAATCTCTTGAGTTATTCATCAAAGAAAGAAAGAAAAAAAAAAAAGAGCACAAAGGTATATCCCAATGAAGTTCACATATTTGCCAAAATTCTCTCTGCAACCATGATTACCTTAATGGCCTTGATATTCATTTAATGCAGATTCAAGCCTACTGTTACAAAGCTAATTTCACTATAGATATCACACTACACTGAGTCACAAATTATACTTGAGGAATGCCATCTTTTGGGATATGATGATGCGCACTCTGGTATAAATTTACCAGTGTTTAGGAGTAAAGCTGGTAAACTTCTACCAGACTACATACCATCACATCCAAGAAGATGGTACTCTTCACAGTCACTGCCATGAGAACCACAAATTGGAGAGATATTACTTCCTTACATTTCATTAATTATTAGCAATATCAAAAAAATGTTTCAAAGCTGTAGGTCTGAATGAGATATATATTGAATTTAAGTCATACACTAATATTTTGCATATGTGCCCTTTTTGAGGAAGTTAATAAAATTAAATTACACTTTCACATAATGCACATAATATAACTACACAGTATATACCAAAAGAAAATTTTCCTTAAGACTTTTACAATAGGACACCAATATAAAATTTAATTAAAATCCATAGAGTAATTCTAAAGATGAAATAAAGCAGACAGACACATTTCTCATTGTGTTTACTGCATGCAATTTGTACAAAGAGTGTAAAATACTAAGATATGTTCTGAATATTCTTGTAAAGACATTTCACAAAAATACTACGGTCTATATTTAAATAAAGTAAAGTTTATTAATTTTTACAATGAATGGCAAACTGACTTACGTGCAAGAGAGTGAAAATATAGTCTAAGCAAGAGTTTCATTCTTCATAATTTATAAAGCCAGAAGAAGTTTCAGATACAAACAAAACTATAAGACCAATACATTGGGAAAAATATGGCATAATTTTTAATAAAAAGTAAACTGCAAAGATATAATTTGCCCAGATATCTGCTCAAAATTCATACAAATGGAAGATGACAGTAAGTGTTACCTCTTTGAGCAGGTTTCCAGAGCGTCGTCTCCACCGTGAGACACGACCACAACGTGAGAGTCTCCCAGTCCCTTGAGAGGCAAGACGAGGTGAGGCCAGGGTTGCTATCTGTTTCTTTATGCCACCACGTGATGCAACGGCTACCACTCGGCTGCCCAGGCGCCGACAACGTCTCTCACGCTGCTCACTACGTAGCCACATGATGGATGAGCACTACCGGTTAAATGTTGATGATTCCATCAGTGGCTAACATTCAATTACTCTGTCTCCTCAATGGCAAGTCACTAACACTCTCCAGCTTGAAACATCACACTCTTCACACTACACCACTGATCAGGATCATGCTGGGATTCCCAGGACCCTGTCTCCGATATGCACACTATTCAGCATCAACATTGGAGCCCTGAGAACATCAAACAAGTAACTTGAAAATCCATCCAATATTCAACCTTATTTCAGTCCTGTATTATACATATCAACAGCTTCTATCTGAAATTTTGTTTTTTAAAGCAAACAATTGGAATGGTTATGAAATATTAACAAAACTGGAATCCAACTGGCCTATTCTTTGGGGCACAGTCATTCCAAATACAGCAGTCTCTATGCAGAGAGCTTTTTAACTATATTCACAGATTCACAGCTGTACGCTTGACAGTGACCGCCATGCTGCCTGCTTTGCCGATAAATCAGTATGCCTGATGGCAGATAACGTTTGGAATGAAGGGAAATAATTAACTTGTGGATCGCTTGATGGCATAATGTTTCAGTGTGAGCAGCAAGGTTAATGCATGCGAGCTGACGAGTTTTCAGTGGTAGACAGCAGTTATCAGCTCCATTAGTGACCTGTTCTCAGTTACAGTCAGTAAGCAGTGTGGTACATCATGGTGCAGTATATTTTAGAGCAAAGTGTATTTCTGTGTGACACCTATGTCCAATAAGAATCTGCTAGAAAGTGTAGGTGAAAATTTTGACATAAATCTTGAGAGGATAGAGTTCCCAGCAGACAAACAATTCACTATTTGGTGAATAAACTTAAACTAACCAGACTATTAATAGACAAGAAACAAAAACAAAAGACCGTTTGCTTCCTGAGGAGAAGTTAGATGACATAGGGGCCAGACTTGAAGATACACCTAGAAAATCACTGAAACGTCTAGCTCAAGAGACTGGAATGGCAAACTCTATTCCAAGAACGGAGACAAAACTGGTGAAGCCTAGACCATATAAAACAACGGTGATCCACGCACGCCTTGCAATCCAGCTAGTAGGGTTCAATTTTGCAGTTGGTTTCTACAGTCTGTCGTCGAAGGTGAGATGGATCCGCAATTGATATTCTTTTCTGAGGAGGTTTTATTTCACTTGCAGGGATACATAAATAGGCAAAATAATTGCTACCGGAATTCACAGAATCCACATCTAACCCACAAAGTCCCGCTCCATCCAGTGGAAGTTGGCATCTGGTGTGCTGTAAGTGAAGGATTGTTGTACCTGTGATTTTTAATGAAAGAATTAACTGCAAAAGATATTGACGTGTAGAGGGACAGCATTTTCAACACTTCCTATGATCTGTGAATTGTAACTACTTTATTCTGAATGTTATCAGCCATCAGACATGCTGATTCAACACTGTCAGTGTATATTTATCGGAATAACAAAGGAACTCTGCTGTATTAATTATTCACACTCTAAGTCAATGCAGACTGAAAAACTGACAGACTGGGAGCTGTTTCAAAGCCTCACCTCTGAACTCGTTATCTTCAGATATCTAAATTCACTATTCTAACGAAGCTGATAAAATAGCAAGTGACTTTGTATCCTCTCTAGATTCGACATACAGGCTATCGACTAGAAAAACTAAAATTTTGGACCTGAAATATGAGATACCTGGCCTAAATCATTTATTAAAGCATAAAAAAGCTTATAATATTATGGCAAGAAACCAGGGATCCAGCATGAAAAACGGCAGTAAACTGGGTAACTCAAAATATCAGAAGAATGGTCCGAAAAAGAGCACTTGAAAGACGAGAAACTAAGTTGGCAAACCGCAAAGTCACACCTCAAGAAATATGGCCTATTGCAAAATCCCTCACAAAAGGTGGTAGAACAAAACACCATCTGCAATTCATTATCCCTTATGCCTCATATTTTATCCAATTAATAAAGCCAACATAATCGCAGACTGCTTAGAACACCGGTTCAGAGCGCATGATTTGTGTGACTGAGACCACAGATGATGTGGAGGCTCAAGCTGAAGCCCCACTGGCTACCATCGATGAAGATATCCCTCATAATTTCTGACCCTGTGATGTATAAAAAAAAATACAATCCTTGGAATTATGTTAGGCTTGTGATTTTGATGGAATTCCAAACCAGAGTAGTTTAGGACTCCCTATGTAGCCTCCTCAGTGAGGGCCGCATAGAAATTACCACTTCCAGCAGTTCCTGTTGTTGCCTGCATCCCTGCTGCTGTGGGAATGTGGCCCGGACAGTATAGAAAACATCTAGTGTTGTTACCATACTGTTCCCTAGCAATGGACGTTTCTTCTGCCTCCACAATTCTTGTTTTGTGCAAATATGCCACAATACATAATTTCCTGCAGGAATCAATGAAAATGTCTGAGATTTGCTACAAAGAGTATTAGTATTCTTGCCATTACTTAACTGATTGTCATGTACAGTATAGTACATCATTAATCCATCTTTAGTTGCCCCCAGATTCTGATTTCTCACATAATAGTATATGTGAAGATGTGGTATAGATCCCCCACATTCCCCCTTCTCTCTCTAGAGTCTTCCAACAGCTTCCACTGACTACTCTACTGTTCTTCTCCCCCAACTCTCAATCAGCCAGCAATCAGTTTGCATTACAGTGGATGCTGTTAATTTAATTTTGTCTAGACTAGTTCATTGGATTAAAAATAAATAACAATATATGAACTCACACAGAACGTCGAATACCTGTACTTAGGTATAATATTGTATTATCTGAGGCATCTATATATGCATTTATAGTTGTACTGGAAACAAGAGGGTCACATGGTAACGTGGTTTGTTGAGGCATTACGCTACAAGCCGAAAGGTCGTGAGTTCCCAATCAGGTGGACCTTTTTCAATTTACCTAATCCTTCCAGCCCCACTATGGCCCCAGGGTCAACTCAACCTGTAACAGAAATGATTACCAGGAATCTTCCTGAGGGGTAAAGGGTGGCTGGCACATATGGCTCACAAACTTACTGCCATCTGTGAACCCATTGTCTAGAGAAAATGTGGGAGCCTTGACGTCTCACAACCCTATGGGCCTTCAGAGCCTGTTACAGGGATAGCTTTTCCTTACCTTTTACTGGAAACAAGAATTTATTTTATGACTTGTTTTACACACTTGTCCCAGGGCTACGAATTTTGTAAAGTCTGCAAACATATTCTATTCTTTCCTGTTCTACAAAATCAGCATAATTCCTAATTGTGATAATGCTACAATAATTACATGAATGTACAAGATGTGTCATGTGCACATAACTACAACACCATAACTTTATGACCTGAAATGAATGCTAATATTTTTTAATCTGTCTTGATGACTTTTATGGCATGACTGTTTACAGATCTGTAGGTGAAAGGAAGAGATCAAAAAGATAAGTTTTTTCTCCATCAAACATTCCCTGAAACAAATATGAATCAGTGTATTTGTGACCAAAGAGAGTAACAGCTTAGGGTTGACTGAAGAACCCAATTCAATATGACATGCCTTCCACATATTACTGCATGGCAGTTGTACTAAAGGTGCACCCACGCTTTAGCAGGAAGAGAGTAGCAGCAGTAAAACTCTCTTACCGTTAACACTAGTTCATGGTTAACAGCATTAGTGCTTCTTTTTGCCTTTGTCATTTGACTACTGTTTTGGTAAGGGTAATTCTTGCTAATATCTTTCTTTTTGGCATTTCTATAACCTGTTCATATCAATAGAAGCCATTCATCTCTATTGTTCACCATAAAGCGAATTCTGACTGATGTATGAAAACAGCATTGTGTGGACATTCTTCTTACTCTAGTAATGTAAACAGAAACGATGAGTTTTGCAATGAGGGTGTAATATTTGATGTAACAGGTTGTTAATGACTGAGCATAAGAACAAATGAAATTGGTGTATGTATATAGAAGAACGTCTGCCATTTGTGAACAAATGCTAGTAATAATGGTTTTCCAATTAAAAAAAAAAAAGGTAAAGCTATCCCTGTAACAGGCTGTGAACACCCATAGGGTTGTGAGACGTTGAGGTTCCCACCTTTTCTCTAGACAATTGCCTCACAAACTGCTGTAAGGTTGTCAGCCTTATGTGCCAGCCGCCCTTTAGCCCCCAGGAAGATTCCTGGTACTCATTTCTGTTACAGGCTGAGTCGATCCCAGGGCCATTGTGTAGGTGGAAGGATTAGATAAATCGAAAATATCCACTTCATCAGGACTCGAACCCGCGACCTTCCAGCTTGTAGCATACTGCCTGAACCAACTACGCTACTGCGTGCCCCAGTGGCTTTCCTAGAGCATTAAGAAATCATGCCATCTTGAGTTGATCACAAAAAAATAAGGCACCTTTTGTATTGAAATTCTCATGAAAAAGATTCAAAGGCTTCCAGGAGTTAGTCTACCTTAACCAAGCAACATTTTTAAAAGAAGCAAGAGTGGATCAGTACAGCAAAACGGGGATAACATATTATAAAAGCATTACTTCAAAGCCAAATAGCAATAAGAATATTCGCAATGAAAGCAATGCAGTATATTAATATTATATGACTGCACGCACATAGCTGGATGGCGCATAAAGCTGACAACCTTACCGCCATCTGTGAGCCAACTGTCTAGAAAATGTGCAAGCCTCGACGTCTCACAACCCAATTGGCCTTCAGGCCTGTTACATGGCTCGCTTTAATTTTGTTTTACCTTACACACATAGTGTACTTATATCAGCCACACATACCTGCTGTCAACCAGTAAGAAAAATATTAACCCAGTACGTTTAAATTTCCCACTGCTGTGTGAGTACCTTAAGATGACATAATGGTACACGTTACTAACGGGCGATGATGCACCCTTGATGGTACTCCGGCACAACTTTATTACGCTACTAAACTTACTGCAAAACCAAGGCATCAATCACACCTCCCAGCGCCGTTTACAGCTGCTATCTTCTGCTACAGAGTCTTAACATACGTAAATAGCGACAGAATGCAAACGTTCTAGCCACCTTATGATCCTAGTCATAACTACTTTATAAGGTTTTTGCGCATTCACAACGAAAAGTTGCAGCAATGCGCTTATTAGCTCCGCCACGTCTGCCTACGTAACAACCCAAGAATCGAAGAAACGGAATTTCATGAAATTTTAAAATGGTTTTAATAAAATAGGTCCACACTTCGCCGACAAGCGGCGGTCGCTCGATCGGTATAGTTCGCTTGCGGACTACAGGTCACGGAGTGCAGCGTGCAGGTCCACATATTCCAGTTTTGGTTGAAATCGGGTAACAAAAACAGAAACATTACATCGTGACCTATAAGTGCATGCCGAGCGTAATAAATACCTAAATTATGTATCTGGCCTTAAGCATTCCGAGCAAAAGCCGTAGGAGGAAACCAACATTTTATATCTGATATACATATTTCTTTCTTCTGTGTGGTTTCTTAGACAAAAAAAAAAAAGCGTGCGAAAGCGCCAGCATTGTTACGATATGGCTGTCCTTCATAGATTTAAGGGTACAGTGCAAAAGCGGGATGGTTCCGGTTGCGGTCGAAATTTCGTTTTACATATACATAAAATACGCTCCATGTGTGGGAAGAACGGTGTGGCTCAAATCATTAGTTACACTGTTACAATGCGAATGGAACCACGCAATGGTGTAGTTAACTGAATTTTTACATGTTTTTATTGTTTTCCAAATGTTCGTTAAAGTGGAACCATATCCCTATTACACTGCAACCGTTCAATTAAATATGCGTTCTGGTGTGATACCGTATAGTCTGGTCGATGCTTACCAGCATTTCTGAGAAACGTCAGTAAATATCTACCAGATTAAACGGCGTCACATCCTGCAAGGCAGTAATCTTCATGGTCACCGCCGTGAGAACTTCTAACCTCACATTTCTTAACTTTTATTCCTTTGTAAAAAAAAATGTAAAGCTATCCCCTTAACAGGCCGTGGAGGCCCATAGGGCTGTGAGACGTTGAGGCTCCCACATTATCTAGACAATCAGCTCAAATATGGCGGTAAGGTTGTCAGCCTTACGCGCCGGCCGCGCTTTACTCCCCAGGAAAATTATTTAATTAATTCCTGGTACTCATTTCTGTTAGAGGCTGAGTCGACCCCAGGGCGATAGTGCGGCTGGAAGGATTAGGTCAACTGAAAAAAAAAATCCAATGACCTCATCGGGACTTGAACCCGCGGCCTTTGCACATACAGCGAATCATAGTGTCACTTATTGCTGCTGGACTGTTCAGAGTAGTTACCCACCCTCACAAAGTTTAATTCAGTCAGGGCAAGAACTGAAGGAAATGTAATCTTTGTATCTAGTGAATTTATCTTTGCTGATCACAGTCGCAGCGCGGTCTAGGGCATGAACAGTCTTCGCCCGCTCGAACACTGAGATCGTGGGTTCTAATCCCATTGAAGGCATGGATGTCTTTGTGCGTCTATTCTGTGTTTGTGTTGCTTTGTGTGTAAGCAGCGGCCTTGCGACGGGCTGATCTCCCGTCCAAGGAGTCATATCGACTGTGTATAGGATTAAGAAAGTGAAAAATGGGCCAAGGTCCAAAGGGCTGCAGAGCCATGGACAGAGAGAAAGAGTTTATCTTATTCACCTGAAACAAGAAGAAAATTCAGCTGATTAAAGGGTCGTATCGACGCTATAGGCACGCACATTTCCCGCACAGTCTCAACTGATTCTGCAGCACAGAATTATTCACTCAAGTATAGATAGGATGGAATGATATGGGCTGGATCTATCTGGCTCAGTAGAGGGACCACTGGGGAGCTCTTGTGAGCACGGTAATGAACCTTCGGGTTCCATAAAACGCTGGAAAGTTCTTGAATAGCTGCAGAATTGGCGGCTTCTCATGAAGGGCTCAGCTCCATGAGTGAAGAGCAGCTTATACACTCGGCGGGGTATTTCCGCCCACCGTTGCTCACGTGTTGCGAAGAAGCTTCTCTGTCAAGAGTCCTCCTATCTTCTGATATAACGGCGTGCAGGCCGTTGTTCTTCGACCCTGAACGCAACATGTTCCTCTGAAACGCCACTTATTTTCAAGGGACTACACGGTCTTCTATCCCAGCTGATAGGGTTCTTCATATCAACAGTTGTGAGATCCTCAAATCCTACAGGCTATCTATTATCCTCAATACATCTTCATGTTTTACTCAGCAGTGGGATAAGCAATGTCGAACTTCGTCTCAAGTTGGAAGAATAAAATTTGGGGACTGAAGTGCTTAAGAAAATATCAGATCCAACAGAAATTAAATTACGTCAGAATGGTGAATTTCCATAACCAGAAACTCCCGGAGTTTTATTTAGCACGGAATTATTTGACCATAAAATTGAGGTTAGGAAACGGGCTCCTCATGTAACAATCATGGTAAAAAAAACGCAAATAAAATGTTGTTCGGAAAATCTTGGAAGTGAATTATTGTAAGACCGAAAAGCAAACGTGAACATAATATAAACATGATATATACTTCTGTGTCCATACAGTATAGCAGGATGCTAGAATACAACAATACGAAACATGACTGGGGTTTGAACCGATCCATAGCAGGAATGTATCGTTCTGCTCCTACCTCTGATGACTGTACGTCGTGCACATACACCTTCCATGCTGGTATGCTGATGTTATCCACTGGACTGTACATTTCGACCTTCATAAACCCTTTCTCCTCTCCCTTTTAAAAAAGCTTTGTGTCGTCTCTTTTCTCCTTCAAGGTTATTCTGGTCCTAGCAACAGACTTGTGAACAAAAACGGCATTTAATTTCCGGTGACTATTTCTTTTTAAAGGATTGCTTTCTTTAACGTAGAGTATGTCCGTGTACTGTTTGTACATTTCGCGATATGCAGTGCAAAGCAGGTTGCTGAGAGCACACTTCGGTATACGTAGGTTTCGTTCCATTCACATCTCATGTG